TTCACTGCTGATTTACACCAACTAAGAATCTGACCCATTGACTTCAGTAGCATGAGCTCTGGCTTACTGAGTAGTAAACTAGGGCCACAGTGGTGAAAAAGGAAATCTCTTATTGACCCTTTGCCTGTCATTATACTTTTCATCTGAAATACTCAGAACTTAAAAAAAATTACCCCTTTTTTTGGTTGTGCCTTTTGTTCTCTGCAGCAACTGTGAAAGCTTTTAGTAGTCAATAGTTTCCAACAGAGAATGATTAGCTTGAAGATTGATTGTGTGATTTGCTATAGTATATTATAAATCTTTCTTGTGGTAACAAAATAAGGAGAGCATGACTCTTCACTATAGGAGTGCTTCTATCACCCCAGGAGAAAAGAATTTATAAGGAGCTATAAAAATACCAAATATAATTTCTTTTTTCATTACAGAAGATCAGAATGACCTAGTACTATTAAATTTATTTCCTTAAGCAAAGCATCAATAATTACAGGTACACCACACTATTTACAAATATCATTCCTGGTAGTAATAAGATAGTATCACCAAATAACCACATTTGCTAATCTCTAATCTTTAGCTCATTTGCTCATGGGCTCATTTGCTTAGGCATAAATTAACGTTTTCCCCCTCAGTGAACTAAGGCAGGAACGCAGACAGTCTTTTTCTTAGAACACTTTCATTGCAGTACAGTTTGCTTTTGATTCCTTGTTTTAAAGTTGTGTTTTCCCACATTTGATCATTAATTCTATTTGGTGCTATAAAGAGTGCAGCTAGTGCAACTCTTGGTAGCATAGTAGTAAAACTAGCGGCTTCTTGTGCAAGTAATATGCAAATGAGGCTAAGCATGGAATATCGCCAAGCCTCATTTGCATATCTAATGAGCCACCATTTTTTTCAGAAGAGGCTCTTGCGTAAGAACGAGCGTCTACACTGCCCCTTCTTGCGCAAGAAAAACCCTCTTGCGCAATACCGTTACACCTATTACTTTTCAGGAAGAACGGCATTGCGCAAGAGGGTTTTTCTTTCACAAGAAGGGGCAGTGTAGACGCTCCTTCTTGTGCAAGAGCCTCTTCTGAAAAAAATGGTGGCTCATTAGATATGCAAATGAGGCTTGGCGATATTCCATGCTTAGCCTCATTTGCATATTACTTGCACAAGAAGCCGCGAGTGTAGACGTAGCCATAGTGTTTAAGGCCAAAAGGAACTCCAAGATCATCCGGCCTGGTCTTCGGCATAACACAGGCTATAGAATTTCATCCATTCACCACTGTATGGAACCCAACAACTTGTATTTGATGAAAGCACATTTTCCAGAAAGGCATCAAGTCCTGATTTGATAACAACCGGAGTGCCATTGACGCCATAGGCACACGGTGTACAGATTTAAGTCTTGAGCTAGCAAGGTTCCTAATAAGTGTGATATTTGTTCTCTGTTGTAACATACATGACTCTCATCACCTTAGCATTTGAGCAACTCGCAATCATTAATGAATTATATACTCACAACACCCCTATAGGGCAGGAGGGGGATTATTATCCCCATTTTACAGAGGGGAAACTGAGTCACAGAGCTGATTACCTCCTTTGCACTTCCCTACCTCCATTGGTGGGCCTGGAGATACTGCTGCTGAGAAAGATAAACTGGTGTATACAGGGAGTACCAGAGAGGAAAAGAAGCATTCAGGGAGCATGGCAGTTCCAATCACTCAAAGGTACGACTTCTCCCATACATTCCCCTGGGATTTAAGAAAAACATCAAATATCCCCAAATTCATGATAAAATCTCTGGTACTGGTGAGGAACCACAGACTAAGAAGTTATTGAGACTTATTATTAATAAACTTTTGTGTCTATTACTTACATGACAAAGATATCTTAAATCAAGAAGCCTTGGCACTCTTGGCATTTTTCTACTTCAAGTGAGTTCCAAAGAATCCAATGTGATTTTAGTGGAGTAAAACGAAACATTTGTAAATTCAGAATTAACAGTGACACTTCCATTAACAATAATATACAAGGAGTTATATCACATTAACACCAAAGGCTAAATTTCAAGGTGCTGCAAAAGAGGAAAAAAACAAAAGGAGGTTGTGATGACTACCTCTGGCTACTAGGACTTACTGCCCTGCTGACAAGGGACAAATGTACAGACTCTGGCCACTAGGCCTTAGTGCCCTCAAGAGGTGCTAATCTATTGACTCTGGCCATTGGGCCACACTGCTCTCTCTCTCCAGGGTGACTTTACTGACTGTAGCCACTGGGCCTTACTGCCCTACCAATTCAGGCAAATCTATTGATTTTGGCCATAGAGCCACACTCCCAGTTATTAGGGGTGAGTACATTCACTTTGACCATTAGGCATCATTACCCAGCTAAGAAGGGCAAGTGTATTATTGTGGGATTGGAGGACATAGACATGTGTTATGTACGCTCTATATCCTATACCCTAAAAGAGATGGGGGCACACTTCCCCAACCCTGTCACAGAGGTGAATCTAAGGGAATTTAAACTTGTTTGATTTATGCCCCCAAAAGCCAGAAAGTTTCTGCAAAAGCTCTGAGATGGCCTGCCATCTCCTATGCCCTCCTAGTTATTTTTCCAGGGACAGTGGGAGTCACTGGAGGAATTCTGAACACTTCCATTCTATTCTGCAGTCCTCCAGGAGTGGCTGAATGACAGGTAAGTAATATGTACCAAAGATGTGTGTTCCTCACAATGCCTTGGAAAGTGTCTTCATTATTTTTCTAGGCAGTTTTGGTCTCAATGAAGAAATTAGAATAAATCTTTTGGCATGGTTCTGAGCAGAAGTGGTCTAATTCAGTCTTACTGCTGATATCTAGTCAGGGATGTTACAAAAATAAAATTATGTATACACTCTTATGAACAGGTACACAAGGAAGCAGCCAACATAAAAATTAAAGAAATTCCAGAGAGACTTTCCCTTGACTTATCTGTAATTTATTATGCTAGAAATGTCAGAGGTCTCCCAGAAGACTGATTGGTCTAGGAATGATAAACAACAGGGTGAGCTAAAGATGGAATGACAGCTCTCATTGCACATTTTTTTATTTGTCTCAAACAACAAACTTGACATTACTTTCACATCAGTCCTTTGAATAGAGCAATGCTGGTTTTGATCTCTATTGGCCATGCTAAGGAGACGTTAGACGTTTTCTATGACTGAGATTATTAAAAAAATTTGGTTTAGAGCAGGGGCAGAGGAGCCTTCTAAATGTGGTTTAGAGCAGGGGCCCCAAGACCTTCCATAGCTCTGCCCCTGCCTCTCCTCTGCTCCCCAACTATCCCGTGCCAGTCATGGTAAGAGCTGCTTCAACAGTGATGAGACGCTGCAGACCCTCCACCTACCCTGGCCAACAGTTCCTGAGGAGTAGGGACAGGGACTAATGGCTGCTCTCAAGGCCTCCTCCACCTTGGCCAATCCATGGCTCCTCACAGTTGCCCAGGATTCCCAGCTGGATTCCAGCTGCTGACCTTGCTCAGAGGCAGGGTCTCACTCAGAGGTAGGGCCTCAGTAGGAAGAGGAGAGGGAGGATGGACAACAAAAAGTGGATGAGCCAGATCTGTCCACTTTCACAAAATTGGAGGACCATGGCCCCTTGGTCTCCCCCTCCCTGTTGCAGCATCCCTGTTGAGAGACATGCAAGGACATAAAAATTCCAATGAGATAAAAGCAGGACTATTTACATAGCTATTCTACTTCATTAGACTCAATATTGTTTCATTACACTCAATGCCATTAGTTTTTATGTTCATTTCAAGGCTATTTATACTAAAGATGGGAAATCACAGCAAAAAAATCTTTGCAGGTTGTTTTCCATTTCAATTGACTTTAATTTGCAATAAAAATTGTAAATTTAATTTACTTTTTCTAGTAAAAAAAATTAAAACATTATTAGCTCACATATGTTGTTATATGAAAGATTAAATTAAATGTCAGATATTAGCCCACTCAAACAAGGAAACTGAATTAAGGCTTCTAAGAGGCCATTGGGTGATACCCAATTTATACAGAACTATATGTATGCATAATTTTCATTTAGTGATGTTCACCACTATTTTGGAATTTTTAATGGAATGCATATAGTCCAGAGACTGTGAAATCCTTTTGCTCATGGATAAATATTACTAATTGATGTCTATGGAAATCATGCATATTCTTGGGGCCTGATCCTGCTTAACTGATGCCAATGGCAAAACTCAGATCTAACTCAGTGGATATTGGACTGGGCTTTGAAAGCAAAATGGGACTATAGATTGTGTATGCTAAAATTACCCACTTTTCTGAGGTGTCCCTCTCTGCCCTCCCCTGTGCTGGGGAGAACCATGAGCCACACGGCCTATCCTCTCTTCCCTTCCCTGTGCTTGAAAGCCAGTGGGAGAGGCGGCTAGGCCTGGCCGGGCACAGCTTCAGTTAGGCCCAATTGCCTGCTGGGGAGCAAAGCGAGGGGGAGGTCTAGGCTGATGGGGCAGTGGGGAGGAGGGAGAATGGGGGCCTAAGCTGGTGCAGCATGGAGGGGGGGGGGGGGGGGGGGGGGGAGAGGAAGGAGGAGAGCCTGGGCTCACAGGAGAAGAGAGAAGGGGTCCAGGGTGGGGCAGAGGAGGGGGGCCTGGCCATGGGGGTGGAGGGAAGAGGGAGATAGAGTGGAGGGAGAAGGGGTTTGGGCTGGTAGGTTAGGAGGGGGGCCTGGGCTGGTGTGGCAAGGGGTGGGAGAAGGGGAGCCCAGGCTGGCAAGGCAGGAGAGGAGGGGCTTGGGCAGGGCTCACGTGAGTGGCCAGACACAGGGTTGCCTACCCCCCCTGAGAGGAGGTTTGGTGAGCACAGCAAGCAGGGGTCACAACCCCCTAGTTTTTGTAACTAAAAATGTAAAGTGAGCACTGTACACTCTATATTCTGTGATGTAACTGAAATCAATATATTTGCAAATGTAGAAAAACATCCAAACTATATATTTCAAATGGTATTTATTATTTGACAATGTAATTAAAATTGCAATTTATCACAGGTTTTTTAGTTAATCTCAAGTTAACTGCAATTAACTGACAGCCCTACTATTTTATTTCCCTCTTCCAACACTTAAGTGATGAAGTGAGGCTTCTCCATGTACTCCTCCAAGGATAAAACAGAACCATTAACTAATCCTTTGAACGGTGATGTTCCTCCATGGCCTATCAAGTTTTGATCATCATTCCAGATGGGTGGGGTGGGAACAATTCGTGTGCATGAGTTACTAGAGTCAACAGGTAGGCATTCTATGAGTTGAAGAGTTGGCCTGTCAGACCATCAGAAGAAAAACTGCCCCAGGAATGACTCTCCTCCTCCCTTGAGAGGTCATGGTGTACTTCATTTGTACTATAAACAGAAAGATCAACTGACTTCAAATCTCTGCCCACTATCCCCACTACCTTCAGCCCACCTGGGGTGGTGATTTTGCTCTTTCCATTCTGTCATTAGGATTTTTCCTTTTGTGTATCTTCTCCCTTCAGCCTCCCCGTCCCCACTCCTCGTAGCTCAGCTGCACACCTCAAATGAGTTATCTTCATCTCCCTGTAGGGATCCTGTCATAGTCACTGGTATTTCCTGTCTGCATTAAAAAGCTCAGAGCAGGATGAGGAGGCAGCAAAAACAGGAGAAGGGAGGGGCCTATTACTAGAATATAGCATGCTCTTCTTGCTATCAGATGTAGCCTTCAATTTTAAGCAGCTCCTGCTCACTACTATTGTCAGCCAGGCATGCTGACGGGGGAGCACAAAGGGGGAAATTGATTCGGGAAAGGAGCTCTTCACAACTTCTCCGCAGGAGTCCTGATCTGGCTGTGAATAAATCTCAGCTGGACGGGTGGGGGGGAGGGAGGAGGGGAAAGGGCTAGACAAGACCCTGAGAGGTAGGAAACTGGAATTGAACAACTGTTTCAAGGTAAGTAAAGAAAGCCTTGAGCAATGGAACTGGGCCCATGTTAGGACAGTGATTTAACCTTCCCTAACTAGTACATCTAACTACCAACTCCTATTTGGCATGCATGTGTTTCCTATTAAAGCATTATTTACTTTTAAGAAGAACCAAAAGAACAATTCATAAGTGGATGTATGAGATGATACGGTATCCTCTTTATTAGGCACAGTAGATGTACATTGTTCAGTTTACTAGTGTATTCCAAATGTAATTAGTATGTGCAGAATCAAAGTTAAATGAATTAGTATAGACTGACAATTAGGCACATTTTTAATTAGACTATTTATTGCTCCTTAGTACATGTCATATCTGAAGAAAATGCACTGATTGCATCTGATACTGCTGGAGAAGTACATCTGGTCTGCCTTTAAACTGAAGCTAAGGGAAGAGGGTAGCTAAAACATATCAGTATCTCAACAAAAACAAACATTCATAGAAATTAAAGCAAATTTACAGTCTCATTTCTTTTAACATAAATCACTAAGAATTATGTAGTCAAACATTAAAAATTATTGTATTTTAATTCTTATCGAGAACAAAGGAGTTGAAGTTATATACATTTAGTCACTTCATTTACAGATCCAACACAATCATTTCAAACTATTCATTCTGATTACATGTTTAGTAAAAAAGAAACAAAATAAATAAGGAGAGACAGAACAGAGAACACAGAACAGTCTTAATCTGCATTTATTAGAAACAAAACTAAATTTTCAATTTTGTATATTTTATTTAACAAATGCAGTTTCATTTTAATTTTTTTTAAATTGCAAAACATAGCAAGTTCAGTTGTTTCATGAAGGTTACATAATATATTGTAATAAAAATATGCTTCACTTATTCTGGTGAGGATTAAATTTACCACTCTGCATCTCCAATGGCTTTTGCAAACACGTAGTCTTTACCCCCAAAGCACATTACTCCATCTTTCAAATAGAACTTCCATTTGTTCTTACTTCGATGAATCTGATTAAAAAATGAAAATCAGTACTTCCACAAAAACTGTTACTTATCTCAAAGAACAACAGTTACAAGGTGTGTTGCTCTTGTCCATTCCAGGTAAATATGTGCGCGCTGCATGTCCGGATTCTGGAGCTTTTTCCCTTAGCAGTGTCCGTTGGGCCATCCAGGGAGCCCCCTAGAATGGTACCAGCATATCAGCACATATATACCCCTTCTGCCCCTCCACCCCCTCAGTTCTTTCTTACCAGAGACTCCCGACAAAGAGGAGGTGGGTGGGACGTGGAATGGACATGAGCAACACATCAAAGAACAACAGTTATGAGGTAAATAACTGTTTTTTCTTGGAGTGCTTGCTCATGTCCATTCCAGTTAGGTGACTCCCTAGAAATACCACTGGAGGTGGGGTTGGAAGCCTAATTTGCAATGGACTGCAGCACTGCCCTACCAAAGGCTGCATCGTCCCAAGCCTGCTGTACAATTGCATAATCAGTTATAAATGTGTGTGGATGGAGGACCACGTGGCTGCTCCACAGATCTCAAGAATGGGCACTTCTGCAACAAACGCCGTTGATGAGGCCTGTACCCTCATGGAGTGGGCTGTAAGTGGTGGCACCTCTCACCCCACAAGTCATAACTGGTCATGATACAGGAAGTGATTCATGAGGACAAGCATTGGGCTGACAGCAGGAGACCTCTCATTCTCTCTGCTATAGAAACAGAGTTGTGGTGACCTTTGTCCTAGCAATGTAAAATGCCAAGGCCCTCCTCACATCTAAGGAGCGCAGAGACTGCTCCTTCAGTGTTGCATGGGGCTTGGGAAAGAAAACAGGGAGCAGATGTCCTGGGCCATGTGAAAATGTGACAACTTTGGGTAGGAATGACGAGTGGGAGCCTAACCCTGTCTTTAGAAAATACTGTATAACGGGGCTCTGATGTGAAGGCCCCAACTCCAACATGCTCCTGACTGAGGTAATGGCCACCAAGAACACTACCTTCCATGAGAGGTGTGTCAGGAAGCAGGCTTTTAAGGGTTTGAACATGAGCTTCATAAAGACCAAGTTGAGATCCCACATGGGCAAGGACTGGAGCACATATGGGTATAGCCTGTCTATGCCCTTGAGGAATTGCTAGATTAGTGCATTCACAAACCCCGACATGCCCCCTTCACCAGGGTGGAATGCAGCATGGTAGCTAGATGGACCAGAAGAGAGGAGGTTGATAGGCTCTGTTGCTGAAGGTGAAGGAGCATAAAGACCAAGTTGAGATCCCACATGGGCAAGGACTGGAGCACATATGGGTATAGCCTGTCTATGCCCTTGAGGAATTGCTAGATTAGTGCATTCACAAACCCCGACATGCCCCCTTCACCAGGGTGGAATGCAGCATGGTAGCTAGATGGACCAGAAGAGAGGAGGTTGATAGGCTCTGTTGCTGAAGGTGAAGGAGGTAGTCCAGGATAAGGAAGGACTGAGGCCCTCATTGGGTCGACTCCTGCCCCATTAGCCCAGAGCAAGAAGCACTTCCATTTAGCCTCGTAGTCAACCCTCAGAGGGTTTTCTACTCTCTACCAGGACGCTCCTGACTGCCTCCAAACACCCCCAAATTTTCAGCCATCCATGGTGGGCATAGAAGGTGCAGGGTCAGCCAGTGCCTCTTCTGGCAAAGAAGAGGAAAACTCTCTCAGTTGCTGCATTGCCTGAGGTGGTGGAGCAACTGGTACAGCAGGCTGGCACTCCGTACCTTCCCCTTCTGCACTTGGTCTGATGACCTCCCTATATGAAGGGTGCTCTGCCTCTGAAGCTAGGGTCTGGTCAAAGGGGTAGGAGAGGGAGTGCTTCTGGACTGAGCTGTCACCAAGGAGCGCCTAGACTGCTGAGGCCCCTGAGTCTGATGGTACACCCAGAGAGCTCAGAAGGGCCACTGTTATTGTGGCTGTCATTGGAATGGCCATGTCTGGTGGGAGGCTGGGCTGGGATGTTGAGACCAGTGCTGAGATCAGAAACGGTGCCGCAACTGGATCTATAGGACAAGGCCCTGGAGTGGATGGAGTCAGCCTCTGACTCAGAGAAGTAGTTCAAGGCCGACCAAGGCAGAGCCGACAATGGCACTAGGGAATGATGGGATGATCTATGCCTGGCCATCACTGATGGCTTCCCCCTATGGGTTGGTGCCAGTAATGTGATCAGCAGTGCTGGAGACAGCATCAGGTGCGAGTACTGTCCCTGCACCGGCAGTACTGAGGAGTAGAGCGGTCCCATCATAGTTGGTACCAGGGTATGCAGTGCCATGGAAGGCAGTGCCGATGCAGTCAGCTCCCTGGAATCCAACAGGGCCAGTGCTGGTAGTATCAGAGGCACCATATGGGAGGAGGGGTGTGCTGCAGTGCCGGTATTGGTACCAGCAAAGGTACCGAGGGGCGGAGCGTATACCAGAGCTCTTGGCCACGCCAGGAGAATGGCTGGTTCTTGTGCTGATGGAGGAGGCCAGTGCTCATTATCTGTGATTGTGACCGATCCCAGGGATGAAGTGAGCTCTATGAGCTTGCGTGCCATATCAAAGACCTCCAGTATCAACAGCTGCTGGACCTCTTCAATCTCTGTGTTCGGTGCCGTACTCTTGCCTCGTGTCGAGTTCAACCAGTGCCACCATGGTCTGGGAGCCTGCGCCTCCTAACGCGCCAACTTGGCTGCATGCTCATCCTTGTGGTGCACTTTAAGGCTGTGCTTTGTAGGGGATCTTCCCCTACGCTGCCTCTTTCTCAATGGTGTCGGACTGACTGGTGCCTTGATGACGAGGGCTTCACTGGTGCCGCATGCTTCAGTGCCACGACGGTTCTCTAACGGAAGCCGGTGCGCTGCGTATGCCTGGTGCCACTGGTTGAAGTGAGGACTCCATTAGAATGAGCTTCAGGTGGGAATTATGCTCCTGCTTCATTCTCGGTTTGAAGCTCTCGCAAATTTGACAGCCATCAGCGTGGTGGCCATCTCACAGGCACTTCTGACAGGAGTACAAGTTTGGAGAACCTCACACATGATTTAAAGCCATGCGGCCCAGGCATCCCCTTCCGAGGAGGGGGGAGAGAAAACATGGAAACTTTCCGTGGTAAGATCAGCTGAAAAACTATTTACACTACTAAACTAATCTAAACTACTAAAACTGAGAATTGCATAACACTAAGGTATAGACTAACTACTTCTACCTCCACCCTCACGGGCAGTAAGAAGGAACTGAGGGATGGAGGGCCAGCAGGGGTATATATGTGCCAATATGCCAGTGCCACTCCAGGGGGCTCCCTGGCTGGCCCGACGGACACTGCTAAGGGAAAAAGGTATAGAATCCGCGTGTGCAGTGTGCACTCACCTAACTGGAATGGACATGAGCAAGCACTCGGAGAAGTAGTGTGTTAGTAGAACATCTTCAGCAACTGACTGGTTTCTACAAACTAAACCCATTAAACTTTTCAAAGCTGATGGGGACAGGGGTACTAATATTTAAGTTAATATCTTTTCTGAGCAGAAGTCAGATAGAGTACTGGGGGGGGGGGGAGAAATCAAATATCAACACCTAGATTGCATCTAATTAGGAAAATTGATACAGCTACCCATCTCTATGTATTTTATTTTTGTATTTTGCATGCATTACTAGACATCATAGAACAGTAGGAAAAGGCCAAAAAAAATACACCAACCAAAAATATGGCTAAAACATAAAGTGTTTCACACAAAGTGGGTATTTATCATTTTAAATCTATACATATTCTGTCTCATGCTGTAGACCTATGAAAAAAGCTACATGAAGCACAAACTCTGCAGTTCATCATGAAAGGGATGGAATTCAGTAGCTTCATATATAGATTCTTCAGATTCTCAACATGAATTGGCTTTCAAGCCCATGAATCAAAAAGAGTGCGTCCTGATTTTCTAATCAAGATATTTGTGATAGAAATTTTTTTCGAGGTGCTGGAACATGTTACAATGACAACTCATCCCATTTCTATCCTCTCACTATGTTTAACAGCCCTGAAGATAATTTGTAACAGAATTATAAGAATTATATTCTGCTAGTTGGCTAAAGAGATCATGGTTTCAATCTCTCCTCCCTCCATTAGAATTTTTTTCAGGAAAACTAGTGTGTCTGGGAAAAGGAACCAACATACTATTTCATAGTATTAAACAAAAGAATAAAGACTCATATTTCCATGTCATTCCATAGCTCTGAATTTCTAATCACATTGTGAAATCCCTGCACAGCAGCTCCAGTTTCAAGCTCCACATCAATATAAATAAATTTCAGATCAAATTTTCCATTCATCCACGCAAAAATCTTGAAAAGTTCCTCTTGAAAATTAAAACTCCAGCATTTATAGTATTAGTTCTCTGTAAGATACGTATCATAGCATCATAATAAAAGCACTGCAACTCAGATTCAGATGAGCTTTCTACACAATTCAGGTTGGGTTGTTAAAGCTGAAACTTACCATGCTTGGTTTCAAGAGAAGATTAATTCTAACAAAGTCTGGTTTTCCATTCTGAGTTTCAGGTACACAAAACCAGAAAAAAAAAATCAGCCGCCTGAGTTCTAAAGTTTTTGTTTGTCCACTATCATTCAGAAAGAACTTTATTTTGAACAACATAGGACAGGTCACTTGTCTTCACTGAGAACTAATTTCTTTGCTTATTTAGAAAGATGGATTTTTGATAAACGTTTTTAAAATCCTGTTAGTAAGACTTTACTACCAGGTTAAGAAACATACACTTCCCTTCTCCTTCCTATTGCCCACTGAAGTGTCCCAACTCATACTTAGGTTTACTCGTGAGTAATTTTATTGAAGTCACTAGGAATATTCATCTCACTAAATTTAAGTAATTGCATATGATTACACAATTGGGACCAGTTATACTCTGATGCACCCCAGAACACCAATAAAAAAAAGACAAAAAGCAAACAATCAGAAAAAGACAGATAAGTTATCAATTAAAACTTGTAATAACTGAGAACCAATTAAGTCAACAATCTGAACAAAAAGCATAACAATCCAAACAGCAAGTATGTAGCAGCCTGCAAAGCTATGCGTGCACACGCACACGCACTCTAAGACAGGAACAGGAACCAAGATATAAAAATAGGAAGAAAGCAGAAAAGCAATACACATATCAGTCATTCCAGAAAAGATTATATACTGTACCTTGTCATACTGACATACTACTACGTTATCTGTGTCAAACAAGTCTGGTGTGTCCTGCTCACTGACATCATCACCGGAATTTAAAGGGTCCTTAAGAATAAAAGTTCTCATTTAAACATTTTTAGTATCTTTTTAAATAGTCTAACATACATGGTGTAATACAAGACACTGGGCACAAGACATTTCTTCACATTTATATGTCCCAAATTGACTGAGATCTATAATTAGGAGTAAGAGTTTCAATACTGACAAAATTAACACCCCTTTCTCTCCCAGGGTACATCTACACTGCATGCTTAATTTTGAAATAAGCTATTCCAGAACAGTTATTCCAAAATAATTTATTTAAAAAAAGAACATCTACACTGAAGGGAAGCCACAAAATAAGTCCAAGGCAGACTTCCCTAATGCAGATGTGCTCCCTCTATTTAGAGCCCCAGGAGGCACTAGGGAAGAAAGTTCTATGGCCTGTGTTAACCAGAAGGTCACATAAGATGACCACAGTGGTCCTTTCTGGCCTTAAAGTCTATGAATTCTAGGTTTCCATTTCTTCTAAAACACTACACAATTGGAAGGAGACTGAGGCAGTGCATGCTGTTTATTTCCCAGAAGACAAAGGACAGCTAAAGGATGCTTAGTCACAGAAAAACTATGTATTTTTCTCCTTGAATCACCTTTCAGAAAGTCCTGCCTCCTGACAAATGGAAGTTGATTAGCTTTCCAATTTCAGGCCATAGAACTTTGCTGAATTAACTCCTGTTTGAACTTTAGTAATTAAAAAAAAAATCCAGTCTCGATTTAAAAATTGTGAGTGATGGACAATCCACCACAGCCCTCGTTAAGTTATTCCAATGATTAATTACCCTACTATTTGCAGTCTGAATTTGTCTAGATTCAATATCCCAGCCATTGGATCTCATTATAATCTTGTGTCTACTAGAAAGGCTATTATCAAATTTTGTTTTCACAGTAAGTACTTATGCTCCTGAGCTCAATTAGCTTAAGCAAGAAAAGGTTAAGGGATGACTGTATTACAACAAAGATATGTTTTCTAATTCTTTAAATCATTCTTGGCATCAAGACGCAGACCAAGATCAACATCTACAATGCTGCAGTCATCCCAACGTTGCTGTATGGAGCTGAAGCCTGGACGCCTGATAGACGACATATTAAAAATTTAGAAAACTCCACCAAAGGTACCTGAGGAGAATACTGGGCATCATGTGGCAGGACAAATGGACCAACATTAGCGTCCTCACAGAGGCTTACTCTTGCAACATTGAGGCAATAGTCACCCACAAGCAACTACGATGGTCTGGTCACGTGGTCAGGATGCTTGACACACTCTTGCCTAAACAGATTTCCTACACTCAGCTGAGGCCTGGGACAAGGTCTTGTGGTGGGAAGAGGAAGCGCTACAGGGATGTTTTTAAGAACACCTTGGTGAAGTGTGGCAGTAACGTTGACACCTGGGAGAGGCAGGCGAAGAATCAGGTAACCTGGTGGACCACCATCATGAATGGTGCCCAACACTCTGAGGTCAAGCAATGTGTCCATGAAGATCAGAGCGCCCAACCTAAGAAGAGTGCTTGGGCCCATATCGGTGCCGCTGGAGACAGAGAGCTTATATGTAGCCACCGCCAGACAGCCTTCTTTGCCAGAATTGGCTTAATTTCTCATCTACGCACTTATCAGCTATAGGCATCCACTGGGAAATCTTAGTCAATTCAAGGGATACGAGATCTTGAGGTTGTTAACTGAACCCTTTCTATACTACTTTAATTGTGGAACTCAGAATAGCATAGCAGTCATACCAGTAACAAAAAGAGTTAATTTAAACTCAATATTCCCCCATTATGCATCCAAGGATCACATTATCACTTTTGGCCACAGCATTGAACTAGGAGTCCATATTCAGATGATTATCCACTATTACCCCAAAAAGTTATTCCCAAAGTCACTGCTTCCCAGGATACAGGCTCAGGATAAAATCCTGACCCTACTTAAACCATTAGCAATGCTGCCTTTGATTTCAATGAGGCCAGAATTTCACTCCTAGACTCAAATATTTGTAATTAAAAGCATGTTAATTCATTCAACAAGCAACAGACATCATAGCAGCGCCTCCTATTTTTCATGATCTGCACAAGAAGTTCTCAGCACCCCTAGTATCTATTAAATCCTGCTCTGAAAACACAGGCTAACTATGTATTCTGCCTCAAATCTACCAATGGATATTCTGTATCTAAGCAACAAGACATGTAGGTAGCACATTACTCTGACTTGCTTTAGAATATGTAAATTAATTACCTCCTCAATTATGTCTATTTGGGGCTCTTCAGTATCACTGCTGCTGCTGCCGGATTCAGAATTTGAAATACTGTCACCATCTTCTTCCTCCTCCAGCACTTTCAGATCCTCTGCATCAATAATACCAATAAATTCATTCTCTTCCGCATCTCTTGTATTTTCTACTTCCTCTTTAGGAAAAACATCATCAGTTCCATCTAGCTGAATGATCCCATCAATGTCACTGCAGGTATCCTTTTCTGTGTGTAAGTCAGATTCCATCTGTATAGTAGATTCCATCTGACAGCAATAAGAAAGTTCAATGAGAGCTTGAAATCTATGGGTATGTCTACACTACAGCATAAGGTTGAATTAAGATATGCAACTTCAGCTACATTAATTGCATAGCTGAAGTTGCAGTACCTTAACTCAACTTTTGGCTCTGTCCACACTGCAGGAAGTGAAAGGGAGAACATGCTTCATTAGACTTCCCTTACCTGTCATGAAAGCTGGACTACCAGCATCAGTGGGAGCGACCCTCTCAATTCAAATTAGCAGGTCTTCACTAAACCTGCTAATTCAAATCCTGGAAGATCAACAGCAGCAGTTTCGATTTTCTCTGTAGTGTAAACGTACCCTATAGGTCCAATTTTTCACAATAACTCAAATATGCAAAAGCTCCCATTCCTCTCTAAAAGATATGTTGGATACTAAAAGTTTGAAAAATCTGTTATCTTATTAAGGTATTTAAATGGGAATAGAGCTCTTTTTTAAAAAAAGACTAGTCCCAATTATGAGTGCCCTGTGAAAATCTAGTTGTATTGAAAAATCTAGTTGTATTTTCTTAAAATGAACCCCATTTCAAATACTTCTTCAATGTTATGAAAACCATTTTTTCAAACGATTTTAAATATTGTCTCTAGTACTCACAGCAACTTTCCCTTTTTTTAAAAAAAACAGATATTAGAACTATTCTAAAATCAAAATTTGTTCCAAAGGAAATCAACATTCTGAAAAAAAAATAGCAAAAAAATGTTAAAAACATTGCAAAATATGATTTCCAGAAACAATCCTATCATTTTTAATTGAAATGTTTCATTTAGATAAAAATCTTATTGTTTTGATTTGACTTTCATATCTTATGTTCCTTTAGCATTAGGGTTTACTATATTTTATTATAATATAAATATTAAAAATGTTTAGCACAAGTCATTTTGAAATTTAAAAAAAGTTAAAAATACTTATAGTTTCAACCCTTTCCTAAAGAAAATTGTTAGAAACAAAATATTCCTATAGACTATTTCAATTTCAACTAATTTAAAATTTTCTGATGGACAAGTGTTCCATTAGAAAACACCATCCAGCTACAAAAAGACATGTATTTATGTATAGGCAATTCTTTGATACCAAAACATCTGGTGCATCAACTAACACTGATGACTTTCAGGAACAAATACTTTCGGGTTTGTCTTCATGTACAGAGCTAAAGCAACACAGTTCAACAGCTGTAGTGTATTAGTAAAGATACTAGGCTTATCAGTTAATCATCTCGACTACTTGCATTCCCCCCGCCCTTGCTACCTCTATATCAGAAAAACAGGAGTGGATGCTGGGGTGAGCTGGCTTAAAAGCCAGTCCCACCGCAACACTGGCTCCGCAGTGCTACCTGACCCACCTTCCCACGATGCTGCCTCTAATAGAGGTAGAAGCATGGGGGCAGGCAGACGAGGCTGCAGCGAAGCAGCTTCTGTCCGCAGTGAACTTGGGCCTGCTGAAGACAAAGGCTGGTCCCTGGCAGCAGCCCCTGTCTGCAGGGGGAATGAGCTTCCTGCAGACAGGAGGCAGGAGCAGGCTCTGTCCAGAGAGAACTGGAGCTCCCTGTGAACAGAGGCTGCTCTGCATCCCACGTAGCAGCCTCTGTCTATGGGGAGCTTGGATCCCCCATGGACAGGGGCTGCTGCCACCCCATGCTGCTGCCTCTATTAGAGGCAGCAGCATAGAGCAGTCAATCTGCGAGGAGAGCTGGTTTTTAAACTGGTTCCCCTCATGGACCAGTGCCTGCCTGGCACCCTGCACTGTGCCTCTGATACAGAGGCAGCAGTGCAGAATAGCAGGGAGCTCTCAGGAGTGGGGCCAGAGACCACTGGCTGCCATCCCTACTCAAGGGTACTATAGAAAAATCGAGTAACTGCTAAGAATTCATGTGGTTACTTAACTATTAAACTATTCCTATACTAGTATGCCAAGAGAAGTATCCTACTTCAAAGTAGGAATAAGAGATCCTCCGGAATAGGGCTTTATTCCGGAGGATCGGGCCAGTCTAGACGCTCTTTTCCGGCTTTTCTACAAGCCGGAAAAAAGCGGCGGACATCTTTATTTAAATCCCGCGGGGGATATTTAAATCCCCCGCGGATTTCCCTATTACAAAGTTTAAAATTAGCATGCCCCTTTCGGAAAAGGGGCCAGTGTAGACGTAGCCCAAGTGCTATCAGTTACACTAGTATTTGACAGTCCCTGGAGGAGGAGCTGGTAGCCATTGTGCTCCTGGCTCCACTGCCAAGGAGCCCCCTGCTGCCACCTCTCTATGAAAGGCAGCAGTGAGGGGTGGAAGGCGGGAGCCAGTCCGTGAGATGAGTCAGTTTAAAAACCCAGCTCCCCACACAGTCTGGCTCCTGCCTGCATCTCCACACTGCTGCCTCTTGACACATTCTATGGAGCAGCCTCTGTACCACAGCAAGCCTAGGCCTACTGCAGACAGAGGTTGCTCCATGGCAGCCTCCCCTGCTCTGCACCGCTGTCCTGCTACTGCGGCAGCAGCGTGGGGAGCAGGGGGGCAAGCTTCTCATGTAAGCGGATACACAGGGGGAGCTGGCTTGAAAGCTTTCCCCTGCTCCCCTCACCCTCTGATTTGTCTAGTATACTTCCAAATTTCACCACAGTTTAAAACTCCTTGCTTACAAAACCAGACACAAAAAATACAGAACTGTCACAGCACACTATTACTGAAAAATTGCTGCCTCTGCCCACAAGTGCCTTCATTGCAGCTCCCACTGGCCGTACGTCTCAGTCAATGGGAGCTGTGGAGTCAGCACTCAGGGTGTGGGCAGCCCACAGACGTGCTAATTATTTACACAGCATTAGTTGAATCATGATCACAGGATAAACTCTGTGGGTACTCTGAGGCTGGAACACCCACAGGAAAAAAAATAGCAGGTGCTCAGCGCCCACAACCAAACTCCTCCCTCATTTCCCACCCTCAGTTACTCCTGCCTCCTCTCCCCCACCACTCCCCGCATCTTCCAGTGCCCTCCTGGCATTCAGGAGGCTCGGAGAGGGAGGTACAGGGACGGTGCACACTTGGGGGGGGGGGGGAGAGAAAGAAAGACTGGGCAGGGAGTTGAGAAAATAGGTGGAGGAGGGACAGGGCCTGCGGCAATGACCCTCCCCAGCTAGAGGGGCAATTGGTGCCTATGATCATGATTGTTTTTAACTGAGGGAATTACATTTTTCTTTCACGTTTTCAGTCACATCACAAAATGTAATTTCTGAATTCTGAATGTGAGCACAGTCTGACAAACTCCTCATTTGCTAGCCAAACTGTATTCAAAAGGCAATTTGCTTATCATGGCTTGGATCTGACCTATGATTTCAAGGTTACAATGACATGGCAGTTTAATGCATGAAAATCAGAAAGTAAAAATAAGTAGATAATTTCTGTTGTCCCTATGGAGTGAAGTGTAAACGTGTAATCTGCTTATTAAAAAAAAGTTAGATTCTTAGCATTTTCCATTTTTAAAAAGTAGAAGTGCTGCTAGTAAATAGGTTTGTTGACTGTCTTTTAATAAACTCATTCTTCAGATAAGTATCTTCTTTCTTTAGATATTTATGCCAAATTAAAATTCATTATAAATTTTTAAACAATGAAGGTCTTACCTCTTCTGTTATAGAAATGCTGTCCTGCTCTTTTAGAAGGGCATTAGCATCCAAGTCATTACCCAGAATAATCATCTCAATGATATCATCAGACACCTGCTGCTGCACTGAATCTTGAGGCTCTGTGGATAATTGGTCTTGCACAGTTATGCCGAATGAATTCTTTGCCACTGGCTCAGTGGTAGAATCCCCATCAGAAGAAGTAAACACAGCTGTTTGAAGGTTTGTGTACTGGGATTTTTCTGCGGAGTCTGCCTGATGATTGAACATTGTGTTAGATGTAACTTGCTGCTGCCTCCTAGTATGTTCCTGTAATACAATAGGATTTGCAGAGTTTTCCAGGTGTTTTCCTTCCACTTCCCTTTGTTGGAATACAGTAGGATTCTGGAGTAGGGCTTCCTGAGATGACAGTCTTTCAGCAGTTGCCTGAACAGATGATGCATTCACATTTGCAACAGTGGCAATACTGGCCTGCAGTACTGAAGGTTGCCCAAGCTGCTGAAATATTTGCTGAAGAGGATGCTGCAGAATACTTGTACCTCCTGGAGCATGTGTAACCATTACAGGCATATTTACTTTATAGAGGTGCCCTATAAAGAAAAGTATTAGTATTGGATTATTAAAAACCTATTGGGTGTTAAGATGATGCTCACCTACTAGAATTCAGATGCTAAAACTGCCTATTCCCAGCTTCATTCAGTTATATGGTCTACTCTGGCCTTATAGTATGAAACCACCTTATAAACTAGGGGTAGGCAAGCGGCAGCCCATGGACCAAACACAGTTCATCAGTGTTAGCTCCTGGCAGGCTGCCAAATGCTTTATCTATCTGTGTGTCCAAAGGTATGGCTGCTCACAGCTTTCGTTGGCAGCAGTTTGCTATTTCTGGCAATTGAGAGCTGCGCGAAGCAGCATGGGCTAGATACTGCTTCCCACAGCTCCTAGTAGCCAGGAATAGTGTACAAAGGCCAACAGTAGCTTTGAGTGGCCATACCAGTGGACACGCATGTAAATAAGTATGTGGCAGCCCACTGACACTCCTGATATAAACCAACCATCCAAAGGCTCGCATTGGAGACAACACTCCTACTTTGCAGCAGCACAAGGATGGGGGCATTAACGTAAATCAAACACATGCTATCTAGAGAGTAAGTCCTAGTGTATACTAGAAATTTACATCAGTACAGCTCGCTCTCAGGGGAAAATCCATACCCCAAGCAAAATCTATACCAGCCTAATATCTAGTGTAGGACCTGCTAAGTAGACAGAAGAATTCTTCCATCATCTAGCTACCCCCTCTCAGAGAGGTGGATTACCCGATGGGAGAAGACCTCCCATCAGCATACGTAGTGTTTACACCAGGGATGGGCAAAAAAATTTAAAGGGGCGAGGCCAGGATGCTTTGGGCTTCCTCACCCACTGACCATGATTGGTCTGGGGGTGGGGGAGCCCCTTTGCCCTCCCTTCCCACTAGGCGCCCATGCCCTGGCAGGGCAGGAAGAGGCTTCGCACACTCCCCCGCCCCCAGGCTGATTGGCCTGGGGGTAGGAGGTGCACAAAGCCTCCTCCCACACTACCCCTCACCCTGCGAGGAGCATGTGGCACTTCAAAGTGCCACACGCTGCTCGCAGGGCGGGAGGAGACATCATGTGATCCCCTGCCCCCAAGCCCTGATTGGCCTGGGGGCAAGGGAGTTGTGCAAAGCTTCCCTAGCCCTGCCCTCGCCCTGTGGTGACCATACGGCACTCTGAAGTGCAGTGCGCTCCTTACAGGGTTGGGGAGGGAGGGGACGGAAAACAGAGGAAACTTCACATGCTTCTTCTGCCCCCATGCCAATCAGGGTTTGGGGGCAGGGGAGTGTGTGACATCTCCTCCCGCCTGCGAGCGGCACTTCAAAGCCTCAGGGCCAGATCCACCCGCTCGGAGGGCTGGATCCACCCGCTCGGAGGGCTTTTTGCCCACCCTTGGTTTACACTAAAGCACAAAGGTGGAGCCGCTGCACCACTGGAGCATTTTAAGTTTAAACATACCCTAAGGCAGTGGTCCCCAACGTGGTGCCCACAGGCGCCCGCCTAATGACCAGAGCCGGCCCGAGCCATTCTTGTGTCCCGAACCCCAGGTGCCCGGTGCATGCTCGGCCCCCGCCCCTCTTCTACCCTCCAAACTATGCCCCTGGTTACACCACTAAAGGCTGCCTTCCTCTCAAAGTGTTCTTGTGTGTGCAAGGAGAGGGTTAATTTTTCCACACAGCCCTTTAGGCCATAGCCTGTAATCTTGTTAAAGAAAAAAAGTGGGGACAGGGGAGGTAGGATGGAGGAAGTTGATCAAAACAAAGAAGTTCAAGAAAAGCAACCCTAAAGAGGCTGAATCTGTCTATTGGAGATTGGATAAGCCACTTTGGCTTTCCACATTTCCCTCAGGAGGACGACATGCCATGGGCTGACAAAGAACTATAGCAGTTCAGGAGCAGAACTATACAGAAGGAGCGCCATAACAAAGAGCATGGTGTTGCCTGGGAATGATGTTAAATAGCATTGCAATGGTGCACTATTATACGTGCAAATTTAACAAAGACATTGTAACTGGTCAATAGAAGTCACTTCATGAGCAGCTACAGGTTCACAAAGTAAAAAAGACAGGAAGATAAATTGATGTATCCACCTATGCTTTACTTTAGCATACAGTGTATGCCCCATGCACTTATCGTTTGATATCTACACACAGTATAGATTTTATAAGTAGCATTTCAGCTCAACTTTTCTTAATCTTACCAGATGCAGTCTGTAGAGTCACTCCAGCAGGGACATGGATAGGATAAGCAATACCCGAAGGGAGAGTCAAAGTCGCACCAGTTTGTGAAGCACCCTAGACACACAGCAGATTTACTTGGGGAATTAATTGATCTTTGTGCACTACCCTTTGAGGCCCTAACAGTCACACACAGAAAAATGCAGCTCAAGAAATCTAAGCTATGGTCTTTCCCCATGATCATCCCTACTGAAAAATGAATTTGACCCTTAGGCTACAGCAAAATGGGCAGCATTTTATAATAGAATACTTAAGAACACTAAACATATCCTAGCATCTCCCCATTTAAGTGCTCCCTACCTAATGTGTCCCTTCCCTTTCCAGCTCCTATTTCTTCTCTACGGAAACTCCTCCATGAAGCTCCTCTCTCTGCACCTCAAACACGAGTATACTACTTCCCTGCCCCCATAATATTCGGTTTTCACTTCATTAACAGCAATATGTGACTATGAGACACCCCTAACTAAAAGCAAAAATGTGCCCCCCCCCCACCCACAACCACAAAGCCCTCTACTAGGACAGCTGAGCCTGTTTCCAGGGCTCCCCACTTTACAGGGTGTCATTCCACCAATACACCTAACCTCTAAAAATGGCAGCCATTCCCTTCCACTAATTTTCAACAGTTGTTCTAACAGCAGAGCAGCCAGGAACATTCATCCCTCCTTCACTCCTGTGGCAAGGGTGGTTGCTCTGAAGCCATCTCTCTACGGACAGCTACATTTGAACAGTTTTCATCAAAACCGTAAAGGCTATATTTTCTGCTTTTATTTTTATATTAACAAAAATTATTCAGATATTGAATGCATACACCGAGCAAAGAATCCTTCTCTTGTTTACTGTATAACATGTAGTGCATGAACAAAATTATCAAGAGAAGTACTATTAGGCACTGAAAATTGCCTATGAGCTCTTTAGAGCAATGGTTTTCAAACTATGGGTAGTGACCCAATACTGGATCATGGAATGTCAGACACTGGGTCTCATTGCTGCAGGGGGATCAGGTGACCAGTGAGGGTGCGCTGCGCTGAGCCCCAGAAAAAGCCCAGCAGGCCCAGCTCCTAAGTGGGGTGGAAGGAAGCACACAGGGCTCCATACACTGCTCCTGCTCCGAGCACTAGCTCCGCACTCCCATTGGCTGGGAACCTCCTGCTGGCTGCTTCTGGGATGCAGCACAGTCTTCAGTGAAAAGAAGCCTGCCTTAGCACCACTGCGGACCAGGAGCCACTCAAGGTAAGTCCCTCTTACCCCAGCTCTGACCCCTTCCTACACTCCAAAGCTCTCATCCTCAGCCCCACCCCAGAGCCCACACTCTAGTCAAAATATGTTGGGTCATAGACATCAACAATTTTCTTCAACTGTGTCATGAGAAAAAAAGTTTGAAAGCCACCGGTCTAGAGTATCTAAACACTAAATATATTTCACATCAGCCTCCTACTAAGTCCTTTAACGAAAGCAGAGAACCTCAACTTTATCGTTTAAAGCTTTAAATATTATCAAGTTCAAAATAAAATAATATTAAAGCTACATACCAAGTCTGCTGTTGTGAACTGATGAATTCCTCTTCCAGCAGGGATGACTAAAGAAGCTAAACAGAAACAATAGGTATTTCACTGTATCTCTTTTTGTGTGTACTAGGCACCCTAAAGCATTAGAATTCAATAATTGTATATACACTGTAGCTTCTGTCAATACAGACTACAAGGACAAGACAGATTACTTTATATATGATGTCTGACCCATAAATAAATTATAAGTGAACAATCCTGAATACTGTTCAATGCATTTGCCATTATGTAATATTTCAACAAGTCCATGTTGTATTTCGGAAGTTTATAAATTTTAAATATTTATAAAGTACTGTCATTCACTAGACCTTACTTAATCTTTTAACTCTTCAGCTTGTTTATTTAAGTGATTTGCACTGTAGAAATTAAGTTTAGCATTTCCATTTATTACACAACCATTTAACATGACTGAATACACATATCAAATGTACAGGAAGTCCCCAGGTTACGTACAAGATAGGGACTGTAGGTTTGTTCTTAAGTTGAATTTGTATGTAAGTTGGAACTGGTACATATTGTAGGGGAAATTCTAGCCAAACATTTCTCCAGAGCTCAGTTTTATTCTCCCACACCTCACTTCCCTCAGTCCTTTATTCTCAAGCTGAGGTGTCTGCTGAGAAAAGCCGCTCCGCGTCTCCCTGGTCTGCTGGGGAGAAGCAGCTAGTGCGGGGTTGCCTTACCCTGTTTGTAAGTCGGATCCATGTAACCCGGGGACTGCCTGTACTTCATTGTCAACACTCTCAATTGTAAGCAGTTTCCTGCCCTGGTGCACCTCCAATGGCACTAGTAGCAGAAAGATTTCTAAAAGCATTCAGCATTTGTTTATCTGCTTCCATTTTAGTCAATGATAAAACTCTTAAAAGGAGAAGAGTTAGATCAGTGCTGCCTGCTTTTAAACATCCCACTCAAAACAAACAGAGTCCATTCACATTTAGGGTGTGTCTAAACTACATGGCTCCATCGATGGAGCCATGTAGATTAGGCTGATTGGCAAAGGGAAATGAAGCCGCGATTTAAATAATCGTGGCTTCATTTAAATTTAAATGGCTGATGCGCTGAGCCGACAAACAGCTAATCAGCTGTTTGTCGGCTCAGCACGCTAGTCTGGACGCTCCCGCGCTGACCTGAAAGCCCTTTATCGACCTCCCCATTATGCCGCGTAGGATGAGGTTTACCGGGGAGGTCAATAAAGGGCTTTCATGTCGGCAGGGGAGCATCCAGACTAGCATGCTGAGCCGCCTGCCGCGTAGGATGAGGTTTACCGGGGAGGTCAATAAAGGGCTTTCATGTCGGCAGGGGAGCATCCAGACTAGCATGCTGAGCCGACAAACAGCTGATCAGCTGTTTGTCGGCTCA